AACCCTTATTTACGTAAATGTTTTTACATTTTAGCTCAAATTCTACTCCAAACATCAAACGGCTTTACCAACAGTAATGATTCGTTAATACCTTATAAAGGGGTTAATGTCAAAACTGCAACACGGTAATTATAATGAGCACTAAAGTCCTAACACGGTGCGAATCATAAACAAAACACAGGGGGAAGGACCACAATGATCGTGCCAATGGATATTTCCATCACGGCAAAACACAGAGCTTGTACATGTTTAATTAAGCCTGTTTAATTACTAATGGCCGTACAAAAATAATTAACCAAGTGATATTATGCAAATAATGATAACGGATATCTAGCGCGATAATTGATTCAGGTGCGAGAATTATGGGATTGGTTTACAGCTGGATTAACATAGGTTGATTGAAATTGTTCACGGACATTTGGAAACGTTGACGTGTGTGTTGAGCGCTGATAAAGTTATAAATCTCGTTCATTATTTGTTATTCACTTCTTATTCTTTGTTATAAAATGATTTGAATCGAATTTAAATTTCGAAAGTAGGAAATCGTTGAGGTTATTTAGTAACTTCCGGATATTTGAAGATCAAACAGAGCCTAAATATTTCACATATTTGGCCTTGAAAACAGTAATATCGTATGTTGAATTTTAAAATACAACAAGACTGCTGAAATATTTGTAATTGTGTATTACGGTTTTTGCTTATTCCAAAATGTTTTTTTTAGTAAAGCTTGTTTAGTTTTACTACAATTAACGAAATACAACGATGATTTTTTTAGTAACAATGCAATGCACAAACTAATAATAGCTTCATAAATAACAGAACAAGTACAATGAAGGACTTATTCAATCTGACACTGGCTAAGGAAATATAAGTGTGAAGAGAGAAAATTTCACTAATAATGTCTCACCTAAATATTAAATATCTAGTTAATCTTACATTACGGTTTTGACAAGAATGGTATGTTTAAAACAAGGATTTAGTATTTCAAAAATTTGATGATGAAATGGTAGTTTTTTGAAGTAACACGAACAAATGTATGCGCAAGATTTTGTGATAATATCCCTCTTAGAAAAGTTATATTCTGAAATGATTCCGAACCATATGGGACGTTCATCTTTAATTTACTTAAAACCAATAAATTTTTAAATCCATCCTCCATATACTCTCTATGAAACATCGAGGCGTTCAGAAGTCAATCTGACTAAGTCCAATTTTTTTTCAAATTGAGTTAATAACACTGTTAGATTGCCTAATGTTGTAGGCCTAGTAGAGGAAATCAGTTTTTCTGACGTTTCAGATATTGAGGTTAGGCCTAGCCCTGAGGACGTTAGGGGCCGTAAACGTAAAAGAAATCCCAGTGATTGGAAGAGAGCACGTCAGAATAAAAAGAGAATTTCAGGCCAAGAATATGAAACAAGATCGGGCCATACTGTGGCTGCTAAGATATTTAGCGATAAAGAATGTAAATGTGCAAGGAAGTGCAATGAAAAAATATCATCACATGACAGACAATCTCTTTTACCTCATTTTATAGCTTAACCAAACATAATGAACAAAACATATTCCTTAACGGTTGTGTAAAATCAAAAAATGTTAAGAGACGTCGACCTAAGAATGAGTCTAAGCCTCCGCGGAACCACACCTTTTCATTTTTCCTCAGAGTTAAGAATGAAGATATACAGGTTTGTAAAAAATACTTTAGGGAAACCTTCCAAGTGTCTGATGGCCGAATACATAATTGTAGCACAAAGAATGATGTAAACAGCATCACAGATAAGAGGGGCAAGTTAGTTCCAGGGAATAAAGTTGACATTTCAGATGTTGTAAATCATATCAAGTCTTTTCCTGCGTACTTTAGCCACTACACCAGGTCACACAACCCTAACAGAAAGTATTTGAACTCTGACCTCACAATCAAAAAAATGTATGATTTATATGTGTTATGGTGTGGTGAAAACCAAAAAACGCCGGTTAAAGAAAAAATGTACTACCATGTATTTTCAACTAACTTCAATCTGCATTTCAAACCACCCCTCAAAGACACCTGTCAAGTGTGTGATGGTTTAATTACCAGACTTTCAGTGGCAACTGATGAAGAAAAGCAAATAATCCAAACTGAGAAGGAGCTGCATTTAAGAAAAGCTGAAAAGGCTAGAGAAAGTTTAAAAGAAGACAAGGATCAATGTTCTGAAGACTACTAGGTGTTAACCTTCGACCTACAGAAAGCTTTGGCTTTTCCGAAACTCTCAACATCGGTAGCATACTACAAACGAAACCTGTATGTTTATAATTTTGGTGTACATGTTTGTAACGAAAAAAAATCCTACATGTATGTATGGCCAGAAACTGAGGGATCAAGAGGATCACAGGAAGTCAGCTCTTGTTTGATAAAACACCTATCTCTTCATGCCAGCAATGCAAAACATGTTGTCATGTACTCTGACTCCTGTGGCGGGCAAAACCGCAATATTAAAGTGGTCCTATCTTTAATGAAACACCTTCAAACTGGAAGTGGATGCACTGAAATTATTGATTTGAAGTTCCTTGTGCCAGGACACAGCTATCTCCCAAATGATTCTGATTTTTCATTTATCGAAAAAAGAGCCAAGACTACTACCAATATCTTTTCTCCAAGGGATTGGTACGACATAATTCTCAGCTGCAGGAAAACAAACAAGTATTTCCTTACAGAAATGAACCACGATGACTTCTTTTCCACAGAGACCTTGGAAAAGTCTGTTACCAACAGAAAAAAGACTATCAACGGCGAACCGGTCAACTGGCTATCCATGAGGTGGATCCGAATTGAGAAGGATGAACCATTTGCATTTAAGTTCAAAAGCACTTTCATGTCAGAGATGCCATTTGCAAAAGTAAACATAAGAAAGAAAAATGAAAACGGACGACCTTTGGCGAGCCTTGCTAGTGTTACACAAGAACTGCTGTATCAGACTTCAAGACCCATTACGATGCCGAAGAAGAAGGACATGATGGACCTTTTAAAATATATACCACCTATTCATCATCAGTATTTTAAGGACTTGAGGACTGAACGAGGGATCTTACAAGGCGAAGTTGAAAGTGACGACGATTGCATTACCTACGCAGAATGAAGGACTTGTATTTGGCTTGAAACCCGTATTTATGTTTTATTAAATACCAGCATTTGTATTTAAATGATTTGAAATAATAATTTGGTCTTTTTATTTGATTGAGTTTAACTTTTTGTGTATTTGTTAAATAAAGTATCTTTTTATTCAAACCACTCAGAATGTTTTATAGAATCTTTTCTGTTGGCATTGTGACTAACTCCATTAAAAGTAACAATTTTTTAAATTTCAAGAAATTTGAATTTTATAATTATGTTAATATAGGTTAAATAGTTGGACATTATTGTAACACATATGTTGAGCCTAATAAAAATTTGCTAAAAATTTCTCAGAGTTTTCCATTTAAACATAACTTTAATTCTCCATACTGCACATTTTCATTGATAGGACTTAGTCGGATTGACTTCTGAACGCCTCCACAGACATTTTAAAAATAAAGCAAACAAACATACAAACTGTTCAAACGAAATAAATACAATTGTGCCATCGCTAATAATTAACCCCAGTGATGGAATATTGGGCAAATAATACCAAACACAGGCAGTGTTAGTTGATTCAGTGGGCAGGATCATTTTGGATTTGTACAGTTGAATTGGCATTGCGGAATATACAGCCGAGTGAGGCGGCTGTGATTAATTATTTTAGTTTGTTCTATGACAATAATCGAGAATATGTTTTTCATATTAAATTGAAATAGCTTTTGGCGAGTTGACGTGTGTGAGTATGGCATTTCAGTAGTCCCTAAAGCGATTTACTATTTCAAGTAAAAATGCCAACGATTAAAAGGTTAACATCTTGTAATATTATAATGACCACCAAACACATATTTATAATTTTCACGCTCTTAATGCTTACTTAAACTACATATTGCTCAAATGATTTGACTTCGAAAATTTGTGTGTATATATATTCAAGTATAAAAGAAATGACTTGACATTTCGTGGGATTCAAACATGACCTGACTTATGTTTAACAAGGTTTAGGTAAAAAACCTCCCGTTTTAACTCATTACGGTTCAAGCTACAAATTAAAGAAATTTCAATTTACCTCTTTATGATATGCATAAAACAGCAATGAAAATTACGTCGTAAACCCGAAACATTAAATAATTATGTGCATTCAGTGAATCACTTACAACGTGGGGCGTAACAATAAAACTGTTAATTAATTAAGTCACAGTAACATAGTGGCTGGCTGTTAGTTGCAATGTAGTTGATATTTTAATTACACTTAAAATTATTTATTGAGTGTTTGCTTTAGTTTAACACCGTAATTAAAAAGAAGTTCATAGTGAAGGCATGTTTCGAAGTACTAAACAAATTAACAAAAAAAATTTGAACGAAAATTATCTGATTATTTATTATTTCTTATGAACTGTTGTACAATCGTGAACAAAATGAAGAGATTTCCACCATCAGCTAAGAAATATATCCCTGTAACTAAAAATAGTAAAAAGTACAGTAGGTTCTATTCGATTCCGACTGGTACATTAAAGTAGAAATAATTTGATTATTTCATCAATTTATGACGTGATTGAAGTAAAAATGCCATACGATCCAATCCTTTCGAGAGCTTCACGAGTAATGTTTCAGTGCACCAATGTCAATTAGTTGGAGGATTTCCTCGATATATTAGGATTCTTTGCGCTTAAATCTTTGGTTAAGCCTATACAAAATGAAAAATTTGGATATTGATTTTGTATTAACATGAAATAGATTTACAATCCAAATCCATGAAATTATAAGAAATAACAGTCGAACGCTCTCTGCGACAACCGGACAGAACAGAGATTAAAACTCTATCCTTCTGATCCATGAAGATGACAAGTCCTTCAGGGAGTTCATGTACAGTGTAACTTATATTTATCTAAATATAATGTAATCTACTCACCGCATTGCTGTGCGTCTGATCAGTCTTTAGTTCCTTGTGGTTGGAGAACTGCACATAGACAGCGCGGCCTCGCAGTTGCGCCATGCATGACGTGAAATACGTCACCATGGTCGACGCGGCCACCTCGTCCGCCATCTCCAGGAAAGCCTGTAAATAAATACAATTATTGAAACTTAAAGAATAAATTTACGTTGTGTTATCTAACACATGTTGGACAGTGATTAATAAATTAAAAACATCAAGTACATCAATAGAGACAAATTGGAAGAATGTAGTGAAGGAAATATCAGGCTGGAAAGACTAATACATATTTTAGTCCTTTATCTTGCAAAATTTAAATATCACTCCCTCGATGTGATGATGAACGCGTTAGAAATAATTTCCAACACTTTTAACCAATAACACCTTGAGAAACTATTAGTACACAGTATTGGTTCAGTATATTTTACTGTATATTATGTAACTAGTTCAGTACAAGATTATTGGTTCTTTCAAATCGAAGGCTGGGAATGAACACAATTTTTTTGAAACCCTCTAGTGGTTGACACAGCTAAAACTATAGTTATTACAACACTACAAAAGAAAACTGCCCCCCCCCTCAATATTATACATTTATTTTACAAATCCATTATAAAAAAATCATCTTTTTAAGTTAGAATCTTTACATAATTTTTTTTACTCGTATATTAATAAAATGATAACTCTTAATTGATGGGATACACGATCTGTTTATAATTGATAGATTCAAAAGCAAGAAAGCGATTTAAACATTTTGATGGTCAGTATAAATGACGTTTTAAATCCACATATTTTGACGTCCTGACGTTTTGGCGACGCGACGAGTGACGTGGTCCAATCACTGTCCAGTTATAAACCGCTCGCTGATAACTTGTCCATTTCCTGCCAACCGTCCTAAATCTGCCGCCAGCGCGGGAACAGACGCTCGGTTCTGGCGGGTTTGTTATCGAGGAGTTAAAACCGGTCATAAATGTACTGTACGTGAAATTAAAATAACGTTGGTCAGTAGAAGTGGGGTCTGCAAAGATAAAGCCACAAATGTAGTTAACGTAAATACAATTGTAACAAATCAGTATATATGTTACTATATAACAGGTAGCAGCGACAAATATTATTACAGGACTAGGCACTCCAATGATTTAGCAGAAGCTCTAACTGTATTTAGAGCGAGATATAAGGTAATACATTATTTAAAACAGCTTAGTAATATTTTTTACGTAAATAAATACAATAACAAAACCTGTAACGATAACGTGACTACATTTCAAACAGTAGCATTTAATATGTAGCATATTGATTTCCTTGCAATTTCACAAAAAAGCTTAAAGGAAATATTGAGGCATTTAGGATTATTACGTCTTATAAGTACAGGAATTGTAAGTTTTTATAAAATTGTTAAATGTACTTCCAGTAAATAAAATTAAAGTTCACCTTAAACCTAAAATTTTATATTTCACCAAATACACTCCATGTTATCATCTCTAATGTAATATTTAAATAGGGACCCTTCATAACTTATATTAAATACAACAATCCAGAAAGGAACAAAGACTAATTAAAAATAAAACACTAATGCCTCCGGGGACATTTGGAAAACTCATTTTCCGTTTCAAATCAAGAAAAATAACCTCGGAAGTACACGTTGAGAGTAACTAAAACAAATTATGTCGCCGAACTCAAACAATGAAGCTCTCTTCAAACAGACGGACTCATTTAGGTGGAAGTTGAAACGACAGTCTCTGCAATTTAGAAAACTCTCTTTATGAATAAATGACCGAGATATTAGCGGAGTTCTGGAATCTCTCGGGGTGCAGAGCCAAAAGTGACGGCGAGATCGAGCGAGTCGCTGCCCGCTCGCTTCGACGAACAACGACACTAATCGACAAAGACAAGAACGGCTCACTTACCCCGGAAACAAAGAGTCAATCGATTCCTGCAAATCCGACGGAGGCTTCTTGTCGAACAAACGATAAGGCGGATTAGGGTTAAAACAATGGCTCTTTATAAGCAGCTGTTATAAAGTTTGGCACAATGAGGAGATTACGTCATCGCAGCGTCGCGGCGTCGTCCGAGTTGACAACTTTATTATCTCAAACTTGGAGTCCGCCGGGGCCGGGATGAATCGTTGATTTGCTCTTGTTGGACCTTCCGATGGGGTTTGAATATTAAAAGTATATTACAACGCATTTACAACTGTATATCATAGCTTTATGGGCTCACAATAATTAAATTATTAAAATCAAAGAACAACGTGGGCTGTTTTTTTTTCTTAGTCAATCGTGTACTAGAAAATTATACGAATAAAATCCCAGCATTTAGGTAAAATGGCTTTTGGAACATCTACAGATTTAAGTATAAGGTTCCATGCTGAAAAACATACTTTTAAACAGTGAATTTTCCGGATTAAAATAAATTTAACACGGATAAATCAAAGTAATGTTGTCCAAAATTGATTGGATCGGAAAAGAAGAAATTAGCAAAATACTGCTTTGCAATGAATATTATTAAATTTATATTTACTAAAAGGTTGTGCAAGGCTAAGGTAATCCACGAATACTAAAAAAGAGCAGGTATGGATCATAAACATTAACAAATGACGTTGTTGGCTCGAAAATAAACATTATTTAACGTTGCTTAAACTTCTAACTGTCTAAACATAATATGTTAATGCTTTAAGTAGAGGATTCGAGCCAGCAACGTATTTATGATCCTCTACCGGTTAATCTCTTTAAGTATCCGTAAGTAATTCATAATTATAATCGAATTTTATGTAAAAATGTGTCTTTTTATCACGCAGTTTGCTCCTTTTGGTAAATATGAATATTTGTAATACTGTATAAAGATATGAAGATATTTTAATGTAGGCCTATTATTGAAAAATAAAGGTTGACTGTATTTAACCAAGGTAATCAATCAAGTGAGTAAGAGTGACTTAAGTAAACTATTTGCAGGTGTAGTGGCTCGACTTGGCTCATTGGCTCTGGAAGGAGGCAAGATCAGGGACATCGCCATTTGCTAAATTGCTGCCCTCTACTCCGACTAATTCGCATAACACGGACATTACAAGATGCTATCTTGCAGAGTTTATAGGTAAAAGAGATTAATACATCTGTTAGACATTACAGCTTGTACGACTACATAAAAAAAGCAAAATATAACAGGGTAAATGCAACAGACACTCGTTTAATTATTTATGAACACAATAATACATCGACACAAGAAAACTTATTTAAATTTTCGATCTTGACACAGTTCTTAACTGGAAAATTTATGAAGTAAAATAATACGTCTAATATTGACTTAGACAAGACATCATTTTGTAGACCCCTCGAGGAATAAAATGCTCCCTACCTTACTTTCTCCCCGCCCAATCTTTCCCAAACATTTAATCATAGCGGAAAAAAGCGAAATCCCATTACGGAAACATTATCTTTAACGACGATGAATTAGCGGGAAATTCAAAACAGAGGGGAGTCTGTAACAAAGTGAATTAGGGGAGTTTTGAGGCGATGTTTTCAGCCCAGACAGTAGCGTAAACCACAAGACAAACCAGCAAGGAGTGGTGGGAGGGGGGACGGCCGCGAGCAAGAAAGCATCATTAGCAACATACATAGACGAGGGCTCGGCTTTTTGAGGGGAGTACTACACAATACTACAGTGGTCGTTTATACGACATGGGTACATCAGCATTCCCCGGCGGGACTATGCTGACGTACCGTTGTTGTGAGCGTAACGCATGGGACGCCTCAATGATAACACATGCTTCAGATGCCAAAATCCTAACAATATTATACCTAATTGATTGTAACGCATCGGCCGTCACTATGCTGACGAGCGTAACACTAGATCAAGCTTATTTTGACGTACTAGTCAACACAATGCTGACACGTACTATTACATTATGCTCAGCATGATAGGTCACAATGTTGGCGTGCAGCAGTATCTTATGCTTCTATCTTATGCTGTGCCAAGGCCGCACTAGATATACCTATATCTAGTGCGGCATTGGCTGTGCCGAAAGGTTTGGACGACTACCATTGGTGTTCATGTAAGTAACGAATGTTTCAAAACATGTTTAACAACCAACAATTAGTCGATGACGAAATGTTTGGTTAGTCCCCTAGCTAATTAATGTAGGCTATGTAGTGAAAATTAAATAATTATATGGATGGGTACCGACATAGCCTAGTATGTAAAAAAATACATATCTGCAGATACATAAAGCTCAACATTTAATGGACACTTCACCAACATACCCATAAAGTCATTTATTAGCAGAATACAAAAATTTTCTAGACCTAGTGTTATTTTAAGTAGGTCTATGATTTGTATGTACAAAAATTATTGAAAATCACGTTAAACTTGGACGGTGCAAATGGTAATTAAACACAATGTGGGGCAATCGAAAATCTATAATTCGAGAATACTTGGTTTACATAAAATGTACTTTTGACATATAACAGAGGACACATCGACGTAGTCTTCAATGATTCAGCAACGAAAGTAAACTCCACACCGCATATAAGCTCCTCCGTATTCTAGACAGGACAGAAGGGGTAGGACGTACATCACCAGGTAAGCCAGCGGGCGAGCACAAATCAAGGGGTGACTGTGAGAAGAGGCCCCCGAGACGTCGGCACGGACGTGTAAATCAACGGGTATACGGTCACCTGCCTTCCTACTCGGCGCAGCTCGGTGGCAAAGAGTGTCATACTTGTTTATTTTATTATTTGTTAACTTCATCTGCTCGCCATCATAGAACATTCATTTGTACAGTAATATAAAGACAGTGAATTTTACATTATGAGTCATACGGACGCTGATGTATACAACTACATAATATGCATGTTTCTATATGTTTAGTATAAGTGATATCGTGCGATTGGTCTAAACAGGTTAAATTTGAGCAAGTTGTGTGAGAGGTGTGAAAACACAAATTTCTCGTGGTTGCACAGTCCTGTGTATTTATTTTTTTAGTCCTCTATATAATAACAATAGTGAACAAGAAAGCTACAAAATGAACCATACTTAGCTCTAAACTCACCCATAATTCATAATTGGGTAAAAAACCAGGAGGTCCATCTTAATCATTGATTGGTAATGACAGCGCCTGATGAGAGCTAATAAAA